GGTAGGCCGCACTGCAGATATAAAGCTTTAAACAATGAATGTAGAAATAAGCGTTCGTGACGAAATGGAACTCCCGGAGCGTAACATTAAAACGCAACGCAAGTGACATCTGAATTATCACACATTCTAAATTCAAACAGCTCTCTCGCTCCGGTAACAAAGGAGACGTGAAAAAAATCGCGTTACCGACGCGAATACGAACCTCGTCCAGATGTCGAATGCGAAATCAGGGCGGTAGGGTTGACAGCTTACAGTTTATGACGCTATTTAAAATTTAAAGTAACATCGGCGGTTAAAAAGTAGTAATAAGCGACGTTTAGGTTGTATTAAGTTATTATTACAAGTTTTTTTTTTATAAGACCACAGACCACTCACCATGAGAAATGTTATCATTGTGAATGGTTTGTGCTATTTTGTTTAACAATTTATTGTGCTTACCACACTGAGAACATTGTTCGTAAAGTTTTCTGTAATTTTTACTGAACGTGCTTGTGTGACAAAAAAGGGTTTAAATGGAAAATGAGTAAGGCCTAGGTAGTTAAAACTGTAGATAATATTTAACTAGATATTGATGGTCCCTGCCTACCCCAGATGGGGACAGGCGCGATGGTATGTATGTGTTAACATTAAAGCTTCCTAATATTATTTTGATGACCTCGACGGTTCAACGTTTTGCGCTGTGGGCGCTGGGTTAGGAGATACTTGGTTTGATTCCCAGTAGGACCAACTAGGGAAACGAATTTTTCTACTTTGATTCAAGTTTTGGGTCTGGGTGTTCTGGGTTCTGGGTAGTGTCCCAGAATAAATCCATTGCTCTGGTACCTATGTAACAGTGCAGGCAATGTTATTACCCATTTTTATAATTATTTTCTAGATTTTGTCTTTTAACTCTGGTACTATTGAATATTTATGTAACTATGTGACAAGGGCGCTTAGTAAAGGTATTAGCTCCCAAGTTAAAAAGAAATGACAAATAATAATAAGTTAAAACGGAACCGTATGAAGCTTAATCCCTTTCATAAACTTAATACCAACTTATAAATTGGAGGAAACTTCTAAAACAAACAAAAAGCTGAAAAAGGTTTTTAGCCAAATTCGAACAGTCATTATCGATCCCATGAAATTGTTTCGTTAGTGACTTTACAAAACAAAAGAAAGCATCGGACAACCCTACGTTACTTTACGTGAAACGAAACAAATGTGAGGACTACCGTGTTCTGAAAATCGGCTTTCTGCAATCGAATGCACAGAGAGAGACAACCATATATTCCTTATGGGGCTCATTCAAGTAGGAAAGAGATGGAGGATATGCGGACAGTCTGAGACGCGAATGGAATTGCAAATGCGAGAATGAGGCTCGAGATTGTTTGCTTTATCAGCTAGTTTTTCAATAGATATTGTAAGGTTGAAGAAAATTTGACACTTAAGGCAGCCGATTGGGGCGATGCCAATCTTGTCAATTTTAATGCTACCAAAACGCAGGCGTGTTTATTCTCCACAAAATGGAGTCTCTTGATTTTTCGTGATATATCCATACCGATAGCCGACCGTCTTCAGCTAATTGGAATGGACCTGTTGTCCAACCTGAACTTCGGCAGATACTTTGAATCCATGGTCAAAAATGAGTCGTTATTCCACACCGGGATAGTTGCTTCAGCTGTACCAAGCACAAATCTCGGCCGTGTATGGAGTTCTGCTGCCACTTATGGGATGGCTCTACTAAATACCAACTGGCAACCTTGGATTCAATCGACAAGCCTGGCAAGAGGCTTAGAGGTGACTCGGAATTAGTGGAAGCGAAGCTGCAGAGCCTTGAACACCGCAGTTAAGATTCCTGCTTATCGGTATTCTACAATATATATTACGGAATACGATGGAATTCATTAATTTGATTCTGCCTTCCCCTTTCCATCATCGAGGGACCAGACGTAGGCTGAGATTCCACCCCTATGTTGTAGATATTTCCAAGATTCGCTCGAAGCGCTTCGCTTCCACATTTATATGGCGAGCGGCAAGAGTTTGAGTACCCTACCTGCGGACTTATTCCCCGAATGCTAAAACTTGGACCTACATCGTCGACCTCGATACGGACTTATATTTAAAAAAAAAATACTAATTTTTACTATCTCTACTTTTATTACAAATCAATTCCGCTGAACCATAATATTTCCAAACTTGAATTTCTGCATCGATAGTTTTCCAATGAAACCACGAAGTTCGTTAATTGAGTTACCAAGTGTCCGACTAACTCTGGAATACGGGGCTTGTTTTTACGCTAGGGCGTAATGAAAGTAAGGAGTGTTCTACTAGAGTTGTCCAGTTACCTACTACAACTATTAATAAAAGTCACATTATCTTTTTTTTATGACACCAACGCCTGGTGGTAAGCGACACGCCTGTCAATAATAGTTGTAGTGTCACTCAGAACTTTAAATCGCGAAGATCTGTGGGGCACGGTTCGTCATTGTGAGACATACGTTAATGCGCACATTATTGCTTGGCAACAGAAATAAGTAAGGTTTCACACAGAACGCTACTGCTACGTAATTATCTGATATTAATATTTACTTTTATAAATATTACAATATTACAATAGATTTGACGAAATTGCAGACACTTGGGACTTGTCAACTTATGTCTTTCTATTCTATGTCTACCTTTTGTTTATGCTATCAAACGAAAGGAACGAATAAGTCGTGCACCTGGTGGTAAGCGACACGCCTATCCATAACAGTTGCAGTGCCACTCAGAGCATTAAATCGTAATCTTATCGATCTTACGGGTACCCTTCAAACGCGAAACACAGTAACGCTCTCATTACTACTTGGCGGCAGAAATAGCTTAGTTACATAATTTGATTAAAATTTTACGAAAGTGGTAATTACTTTGTTATGATGTTTTTTTGAAATATATAAATGTATTAGACTACATAACATACATTGCTCTGATCCCAAAGCAAGTAACTACAGCACTTGTGTTATGGAAATCGGGAACAACGACGGTACCACAAACAGCGAGACAATTATAGAAAAGTTAATTTCTTCATTGTTCTTTCTTCATCAATTCCCGATGGTGACACCAAGAAAACCGGCGTGCAAGCCACTCGACCACGAAGGCCGACAAAAATGTTTATAACTAAAATGTAATATAGTATATTAAATAAATTAAGGACACAGCTTTACAAATGTTTTTATTACGTATTACACGGCATGTTCCATGTAGTCTTATTTTATAATATCGCATGGCCGAAGAGGTTGAATGTGAAGATATGACACGGCATTCTGTACTGTACTTACCACATTTAAAGCAATGAATTGAAAGAAACCCTAATTTAGTGTACCATTTCTAGTGCAGGGCCAAGAACAAGTCGACCTTAACATTAAAGACTTAACTTCAACTCTATTCCACTTGCAATAAGAGCAGTCCAAAGTCCAAGCTCGATGTGCTCTTGACACTAATATTTGTAGCTCCTACGCAAACTCAACGTGAATAGATACCAGGAGAATTTCGGGAATTTTCTTCATTTATTAATATAATTTATTATTAGATATTTCAAAACGGATGTCGTTTTTTTTCTCGACATGGTTTCAGCAATAGCCAGTATATTGTTCTGAAAAATAATTCAATCAATCTCATCTCTATTACTCTTTTAACGTAATATTCTCAAAGGTGCAGAACTGTGCTCCGACAATCTTATTATTATTGTGGACTAACTTATTTCGAGTTTGTTTTTCAAGTGCCCTGCTGCCCGACGATTTTTAATTGTAGTGGTGATTATAAAACGTTTGAACATTTTTCGTTTACGATTTTTTTTTCTTATGTAATAAGATTTTTTTTCGTTGTTAGTCTTTTTTAATTATGAGCGATAGTTGCTTATGGCAGGAGAAGCAAGAGAGTAGAGTTAATGCAGCAGAAATGCGCTCCTTCAGAAATATACGTTCCAAATCACATGGAGAGGATAATTTGTCTTTTCTAATACCGATTGGTGAAGATGTTGCCAAAGAGTTCTCATGATAAGACCACCCAAAGACTTGCGATGACCTGGTGAAGGCTGCGGGAATACGCTGGATGCAAACAGCACAAGACCGGCATTGTGTCGATCTTTGGATGATGATAATGAAGTAACGAGGCTGGTGGTCAGCGACACGCCTATTCATGACAGTTATAGCGCCACTCAAAGCTTTAAACCGCAAAGATGTTAGGGGCCATAAGTGTCACCCTGAGACATAAGTGGGCTTCCCTCACACATGGGATCATGAATTCCAGCATATTTACTACTTAGCGGCAGACATAGGTAAGGCGACAGGAGGCAGTACTTCCCTGGATGAACTCTTCCACAAGGAGCTCTATTGGTGCTAAAACAATGACGTATGAAAGTTAAGTGAAGTTATACAGAGTCAACGTGGAAGGCAACAGGACTCCTCTGGCCAGAGGACAGCCACGAATGACGTTTTTTAGATAAAATCGAGAATCTTCTTAAATAATTTCGTAGTTAGATGAACAGAAGGGCCTATGTAGAGATTGATGAAAGTATCGTTATCGGGATCGTCCACAGTGACGGTCGCAGTCTCTGTCTACCCCAATGGGAATTCAAAGGTGCGAGTATGAATGTATATGTGACCAGTCATCTTTATACGATAACAAACTGTAAAACAGACGCGAAAATGATTTTACCCATTGAAGTCTATTATTATAGCAAACCAAAATGTTAATAAAGCTGGCCATCATCAAAAAATTATAAATTTATCGGTTCTTAATTTGAATTTGTTACCCGTAATCGCTAGTGTTGTGACTAATGAATTACGCTGGACACATATTCTACCTTAATTAAGTGTCCGAGCTGTATTCGGAATAAACTCATTATTAATTCGTCGAATAGCGGAATATTTTAATTATTCACAATTTCCTTCAATGAACCGTTTCATACTGAACGTCATATCGGTGAAGACTTGTCTCTCCATAAGCTAAGGGCAAAATTAAAAACGTGAATTGCTACTCACTTATATAACTATAACTGCAGTCATCCCCATTTTGTTGCGACTCACCTGAAAATAGAAAAAAACAGATTAGGCATTACGCTACGTCCATAAAAGTCAAACTGTGGAGTCAAAAACCTATTACAACAAACTGTCCAATCAAGGTATCATCACGATTCTACAAAAAAAAACTATTCCATTCATGGTAGCGCTCGACAAAAAGTCGTGACGATAATCCATTATCATGACACAGGACAGCACATTATATTATTTTAAACAGTGGTCGGTACTATTAAGAAAATGTTTAAACATGTGCGCCGAACAAACTTTCTACCAAATAAAGTTTACCGTTTCACTAACAGCGCTAGCTTTTGTACGTTTATATTAGAGTTCATAATGCTTTACGAAACTTTGTACAAAGTGAATACAACAGTAGACATTTTCTGACAATCTCACGAATTCACCGTGAGAACACGTGTTACCACTTCTAAAGAAGAATTTAAATTTTCAAACGCGCGTTCTAAGGTTTACATTCCAAAATGGCTTACGTGGAACGTCAAAATTCCCGCGCAAACGTCAACGTATCGTGGACGATCGTCACGCCGCATTTGATTTTAATCTGTAAGTCTTTACTCTGCCGTAATGGTGTCTTGAGTGTGGAGTTTTGAAATGAATGTTATTACTGTCTCGCGAAACGATTAAGCCCTTTGAATTTGCAAGTTTAAAGGAAATGATAAAATAATGTAAAATGACAAATTAAACAAACAATATTGTGAGACTATAAAACTCCTAACTAGAAACCGTGGGCCAAAATCCGATATTTAAATTATTTTTGTACGAAGAACTACACACTTAGTGACCAACTACGGAAGTCTTATACCTAATCAGTAATTAAAACATTTTTATCTAGACACATATCATGAATTCTCTATAATGTGTTCAATAACCGCAAATTACGACCAGCATAAAGATAAACTGTTTTGTTAGAACCAATTTGTTATCTGTGAAAATGTTATAATTGCTTCATAATATCTTTGAATTCGATGTTATTATTTCAAATTTCGAACATCTCTGAAAAACAAAACAATTTGATTGGACCTCAATTCGAATATCAGTCGAGATGAAGTTTTATTCGAAATGAAATGTCAATAGCAAACAATTTTGACAATTTCCCACGTTACTTGTTATCGAACGATGTGATAGCTGATGCCGATTCTAGTTTATCTATGAATTAAAAATAAAAACTACGGTTGTGTGACATGCGTATTTTAATGCCCTTCATCATTGACTTACAATTATATGGACGTCGGGTCCGCGCTAAAAAGTGTCCGAACTTATAGGGCGTTAAAATCGTATACAGAGCGTCATTCACGCTGTAGTCTTCGTTTGTTCGACTGACAGCGAAGCAAGCACAATTAGACAGTACTGCGATGACATTACAATTTAAATTCAACGTTTTAGCTTTTTCATATTCCTTTGCATGTCACTACGTTTAAATAGGTTGACTTGGGACATTTTTTCATTCGTGGTTTTTGTATTAGACCCGTCGTCCATTTATTTGTAAGTCAATGGCTATAACGGAACCATGGCCATACTGGACGAAGCAAGCATAAAATAATGGCTGTATACATTTAATAAAACTGCAATTGAAAAAAAAAAAAGAATAAAATCCTATTGTTGAAATGTATACTTTCAGCCTCAAAATCATTTCCGACAAAAGAATCGAATGTCTATTTATTTATAGAGTTTTTACAAAAAAAAAACATCGTTGTTAGAGGTGAAAATTTAATTTTACTCTCGTAATGACGTAATTCTATACTTTACGGACCGTTGGAATTTCATTTTGCGCCTTTATATATTTGACCACGACTACTAAGGGACTATCAAGAGACGGGACAGAGTAAGCTACACGCCTGTCCATGACAGTTGCACTGCCACTCTGAGGGGCAGTCCACTGCGCCTGTCACCCTGAGATTTAAGTTGACAAGTCCAATATGCCTGTAATTTCACCAGCACCCTTACCCTTTAAAACCGGAACACAACAATGCTGCTACATTACTGATTGGCGGCAGAAATAGACAAGGTAAGGTATCTGTTTTTCAAAAACCCATAATTCAGGGCTATTTATTACACATACCCGTAATATCGTCGGCCATATTGTTGCTTAACGTTAAAAAAATAACAGACGACAAAATTTATCAGTATTTCTTTAGCTATGTTAGCAAAACAAAAGCGTATCAATAAAACAACAGTACGTCAAAACAAAAAATCGTATTATAATTTTGTAGTTGGAGGAAAGCGAGTGCGGGGCGAGAACATTCTTTATCGCGGTCATTGTGGGCCCTCACGTACGCATATCAGGAGGTCTTTTGGACTCGTAAAGGGGTCAAGAGAGGTCGCTTCGCGTTTATGATGTGTCTCTGGAACTCTTTTTGGTGTTTGAAGTACTCCATTAAGGATGTTATGGGAAGTTATGGGATAAATTGAAAATAAAGTTTGTTTTTATAGTCTGCTTTAGTGTTTTAGATGGTCACACTGGAATTTTGTTTGGTGTCTTTTTTATGGCATTTTAAAAGATGTAGCAGCATTCTCGTAATGTTACTAATGTACAAATATTCGAAACAACCTTCATGCATACAATTCGGTTATGTCAATTACGCGGATTTTAAGTAACAATAAAAATTTAATTATAACGAAAATTGTTGTATTTAAAAATATAGTGAATATGAAGTCATTTAGTATTCAATTATTGTTTTTATTTTCTTTTTATGTTAGCCTTGGAACCTTGTGTCATACAATATAACTTATTAAGTACATAACTCATGTGTACATATAAAATAATAATAATTATTATTTTTGTATCAAAGTTTCATTGTTTTGTGTATTGTACATACCTATTTTATAATTATTTATTCTCCAGTTGTCTATTAAAAATGTTCTTCCACTTCTCAGTTTTTTGTAGTAATTAGTGGTGAACGGTGTTGGTGACACAAGCGTTACATATTTACTGTAAAAGAAATTACTAACAAAATTAAAACTTATTAATTTTGTCTACTGGTTTTTGTGCCAAATAAGTAAAAAAAAAAACAATAAAACTCAAACTAAATAAGGGTGTTGTAGATCTTGGTTTGCTGATCCCAGGTATGTTAAAAAGTCAATTTTGCTAAAAATTTCGATTACGTTTGGTATGACAGACGGCAGAGCACGGGTACTGGCTTTTCTATGCAGAGGGTTTAGACACAGTTCGCCATGCTGGCGCAATGCGGATTGAGTACACGTTTTTCGTAGATTGCTAACCTTCTTCGACATGAAGACGTTGTTTTCTGACTTCACTGTTAGCGAGTGATATTGTTCGCATTCACAGATTCGTACCGTCAACCTCTGAAACAACCGTTTTCTCATTCGGCATAATTCTACTCCTTTATTTAAGGCTTCGTAATAAGATAGTTGGCTCATCAAATCAAAGCAAATCGTGTACCTGGTAGTAAGCTACACGCCTATCTGATACACAAGTTGACAAGTCCCATGTGCCTGCCCTTTCACCAGCACCAGAAATAGGACAGTGGCATTATTTCCTTGGACAAACGCTTGGACAAAGATCTACTGCTACTAGGAATACTTACATAAGTGTAGTTTATGAGGACATGAACACCAATTCTACACATACTTTAATATCTAAGGGAAAATAATACAAGCGCAGTTTACCAAAGTACCAGGAGAACATGACAGTTCAATAGCATCAAGGTGAACGGATGCATGATACGGGCGTATTGATGCTCATAGTGGCACGCATACTTTACAACTTTACAATGCTGTTATGTACAGCTTTCTGGTTTCACACGACAATTTGAATTAGAGTTTACGGAACTGTAAAATAAGTTGGTGTATTGTGGTGGCCTGCACAAGGCTTACTTAGGGTAGGCTAAAAAAAAATTAAAAAAGCAAATTTAAGCAATTACCAATAATAAGTCAAATTAAGCATGTTGCAGCGTGAATTACACTGTTATACACTGATACATGAATGTGTTTCAAACTTTTCATGCTTTTAGCTGAAATATGAAAGTTTTTTTAAGTCGAAATAGCCGTAACCTGTCACAAACTCGAATTTTTTTCCGAAATGACGTTTGTTCGAATTTTCATTACACAGAAAATCGAATTATAACGAAACCGTTGTTCTTTCAGGATATGTTGGATGTTTATCGCAAAGACACGATTGGGTTCGGCTAGATTAAGGCAAGTTTAAAAGAAATAACATTTTCCTCTCAATATTACTTTCGAGGTTATGAAAACTCGATCAAACGTTATTTCTGGAAAATGTCACTGGCTTACTGATAGGTAATTTGGAGAGTCTGCGCATAAAATATAAGAAAAACAAAATAATCTATCAAGGTGCACACCACCACTCAATCATCTAAACAATTTATAATATGACCTGTGGATATTTTGTCTTTGGTTTGAGATAACTGCAAGTCGGATACACACCGCCCTTTCTTAACTTCTTTTATTTTATCAATGACTACATCATTAAAAGAAAACCTGTTACATTCGCCCTTAATAAACACTCGCAAACACACACGATAAAGGCTTTTGGTCACAGCTAAAGCACATACTTGTTGAACTATGACACTATCTCAAAACAAATTACATGAATAAAGAAAGAAAATCGCTAAAAACCAATTACTTTACAAGTAAGGTCACACCGGGTCACAACAAAAACTTATGGCGATTAAAAAGATGGTAAAATAGGACGTGCCAAAATTACATAGAATAGCAAAACAAAACAACTACCACATTTCACCTTATAACACAAGTTCGCGCATGTGCAGTGGCTGTGCGGCCAGCTGTCATGTAAGTACCACGTAATATCGTAGAAAATCTTCGACTACTATGAAGGACTTATAGCTTGCTTGTTTTGTTTGTACTCATCTTCAAACAACAGCCTAGTCGGCACGTATTGGATTTTTTCATTGTGTCTTTTTCAAGTCCGGCGGCAAAATTGTGTTTCGCTGTATATTTGTGTGCGTTACATCACAAGGAAATGTAGAGCAAAAAAGTCACAGAACAATAAA